ATACCCGTGGTGGGTAGAGCACAGATAGCCCATGTGTAGCTTCGTGCTTAATTACAAACAAACAAACAATGCAGTGGTGATAATAAATTTATATTTTGTTTTACTTCTGACGTTTTTTGTTTGTTTTTTGCCATGGTGCAGCTTCGTGCAGAGTAACAAATAAATAAAACAAATTTGTTTTATTTAATTAACAGCTGGTTTACGGCTATTGATGAATATAACGAAACATTACACTGTTTTTTTTCATAGCTTTTTGTTACTACTTTGCTTACTTAAGAAACAGGTGAAAAATTTTAGTTTTTATGTTTATAATATTAAGTTTCTACTGAACAATTATTGATATTTGAACCTATATAAATTGTTGTTTATTGCGTAAATGTTAACGCTTTGATTTCTGAGGAAGCCTAGATCATACATGGCACTTGTAGCGTTGTATGCCCAATATTTACAACAGATGGCTCTAGCAACCACGTGTAGTATATTTGTCAAACTTAATCTAAATGTTATAGTGTTCTATAACATGCTATAAAATATGTATTATTATGTTCTGACGTGATTGTAAAACGCATACTGTCCTATTTGAATATCAATACACCAGAGTCCCCCTGTAGTTCAGCGGTAAGTTTAGAGACTTATGACGCTAGAATTCGGAGTTCAATACCAGTGACGAACACAGCGAAGGTCGTCAGTCCCTTGTATAGTTTTGTGCTAAAACAAGCAATACACTGGACAGTTTTAGGCGTTAGGTATTTCAACATTACTCAAAGTTCACATTCACCGGATTAAAAAACAAACAACAACAACAGAAAAAACAAAACATTAATCAGCCATCCACATCCATTCAACAGTCAGTCAACAAAAGTATCATTAGTTACATAACACATGGAAACACATATACCAATAACATACTGTGGATCTAAAGGCCTATGGTTGGTGTCCCTTTGACGAAAAAAATCTCGTTTCGCACTCTGGAGCTGTGGGTGCGTTATAAGAGTGACGCTCAAATTATGTTATTCAATTTGAGCCAAAACTGCCTGTTCTCTAGTGACTAGTCTATTCGTTTGAAATTAGGGTTGGTTAGTATTGTAAGGAAAAACAAAAATATTACTTGGTCTCATGGTCATAAGACTTTCTAGAAACATCTTCAAGTATTATTTTTTAAAAAGATTTATCGGTAGTTTCATTAATAGCTGAGACTTAGAACGTCTAAGTTTTCATATCTTGGAAAACCAATTTAAATTTTACTGAGCGTGTAATTATTCAGTTAGATAGAAAAAGGACCTTGACAATGATTCATTTGATAAAGCTAGGGAGAGAATGAAGTTTCACGTATGAGTTTGTTATTTCACAGCGAAACTAAATTTTAAAATTGGACGATATGAAATCTAACAACGATGAGTATAGTGTATAAATTGAATTTTACGCCTCAGAACGTCTTTAAGACGTAAAACTATTTTTCTGTTGAATTTATTCACCCTATGGTTCGTTGCCTCGACTACACCCTTAGGCAAATGACGCATTCTGTTATATTGCGAGCCAGGTTTCTTCGCGCGATAACAGCCTGAAGAAATTTGCACTTCATTTTCTCGTTTTCCTGAAAACTGACATTAAATGTATATATTATATTTATCTTTAAACAGACTAAAACGTAACTTAGCTATGTTGTCTTGTCGAGATGACAGTGTGAATCGAATTATATCATAAAGTTTAGTTGTTTTGATTTTTATAGCTTTTTATACGTGTCTTTCTTAGGAAGGAACTACATAATTTTCAACAATGAAACACAACGCGACAATAAAAAGGTCAGTAAAAACCTAATTTCCCCCTTAACACGACTGATGCTTTGGAAAAAAATTCAGGTCTCGTCCTCTCTTTTCCATTGTCATTTTTCCAGATTTATACCCCTTCCACCAAAAACATCTGATAGACTCTTACAATATATATATCTAGTGAAAATTGAACTGACAAAATGCAACTCAAAATTCACTTACAACGTATCCATTTATTCCCTTTACTTATTTCTCACCTAACAAATGTATTATATATATATTAATACGGAACATTACGTCGCTGGTATGAAACATTTCATACATCCATTTCTGTTTTACCCTTCTGCCATCAACTTTCATTTGGCTACATTTTAGAATGTAATATTTGAAGTAGGTAATTCTGTAATTTGCCATCAGTAAGTTATGTTATTTATAACAATTTTTTCACCTGGATACGTAACTGTATAGAGGAGGGCTGATAATGTTTGTGTGTAACAGTGTCTGAAAAATCTATAAAAACATCGGAACAGTCATGAAGAGCTAAAGTGGCGAGGTGAATGAAGGTCAAAGTCACAGTTCAAGTCATAATTTGTATTTTGGAACAAAAGAAATGCAAGAATACTTAACTGTGTTATTTTAAAATGATTATTATGCTAATTAAGGCTCTATAACTGACACTGTAAACTAGGTTCGTTTGGTTAGTGAAGTGGTGGCAGAACCAGCGGTTTACACAACTAGTGAATTTTAATAATACTTTTCAAATGACAATAGTGTTGTAAGAGATGACAATCCATTCAGATCATCTACAAGGTATAGTTCTATCGAGATTTGACTGGTCAGTGATTTCTAAATAGGAATGCAGATCTTTCAAGTCGCTTGAAACAGCTGCTCTTCCCGATATTTTGCAAGTAGAGTTAAGATTACAATCATAAGTGAAGAAGCAGTGAGGAAATAATATCCTCTTCTTAAGAAGATTATTATTGATATTCTCGCTTAAAATTCGAAAAAGGCACTTAGCAATAAGAGGTCGTTCATAGTTTTTCGCCATTTTTATCTTAATGTATCATTTTCTGAACTCCGTTTTTCGGGTTTCCAATATCGTTTTATTCCAACTCCGTCTTCCGGGTTTCCAATACCGTTTTATTCCAACTCCGTCTTCCGGGTTTCCAATATCGTTTTATTCCAACTCCGTCTTCCGGGTTTCAAATATCATTTTATTCCAACTCCGTCTTCCGGGTTTCCAATATCGTTTTATTCCAAAGTATTTAAGATTAAAAAACGAAATCCGATTTGCGAAACAAAAAAATTATAACGTAATGCAAAACAGAACATCGGGTTTATAACGAACCCGATGTTCTGTTTTGCATTATTCTGTTTTGCATTATGTTAGCTGGTAACACGGTCACAGAATGTGTGGAATCCCAGAACTAATGGCTGGCATCGGGTTTCAGCCATTAGTTCTGGGATTCCACACATTCCTACAGAACATCGGGTTCCAGAAAATTATAACGTAATGCAAAACAGAACATCGGGTTTCAGCCATTAGTTCTGGGATTCCACACATTCCTACAGAACATCGG